AGACAGTCAGGCAGTCCATCCACCAACACAACACATACAGGCAGCCACAGCCACACACAGACAGCCGATGGGATAATCCAAATCACACACGCACACACTCCAAGATGACCACTAAAACTCTGTGTGTCCGTGTCCCCCATGTGTGTGTCCCGCCAGCCCGTCTGTCTGCACCACCCGGTGTAGCTGCTCAGCTATCTAACGCTGTCAGCAGAAGTGTCCCCCTCTTTCCCTCTCTCCCCCTCTCTCTCCCTCCTTTGCCTTCTACATCTCTGTCTAAGCCGTGCTGGCCACCAACCCGCACCAGATTTGCGGCTCTCCTCCATGCATCTCCTGTTCGGTTTGGTGGCAAACGCCCCTCATCTCAGACAGTTGCTCCGCGCCAATCGTCGCGATCGCGTCCTCACCAGAGACGCACTCGCCGTCTTCGATCACGGCGAACACCTGTTACTCCTTGTCCGTCTCTAGCTCCTCCCTGGCCAGGCAAAAGTAGTCCTCCTTGTCGCTGGCCATCTTTGCACACAGCTCGCACAATTTTTCTGCACACGCACACAGATAGACGGCCGCACGTCGTTCCGTCTGGGTGTCTGTCGGTTTGCGCACTACCCGGCTGCTGAGTGGCCTTTTCGGCGGCATTCATCTGAAGGAGGATGGTGCGGTGGGCGTTGTCGATGGCTCCCATGGCGGCGGCCGTCATCTTGTGGGCGGCGGTGATGCTGCTGGCGACGTGGTCCAGCTGCAGCTGCACGAGCGACATCTGCTGCTGAAACGCCGCCATCTCCCCCCCTGCACACAAAACACACACACACACATCCGACGGATGGATGGATGGATGGATGGATGGATGGATGGATGGATCGGCTGTCTGCCTACCTTGCCCAAGAGTTTCGGCTTCCGCCGACATCTCTGCAGCCATAGATCAGCTACCCAAAGGCCATATCGCAACAACAGCAGAAAACCACACCAATATGGACAGATCTGCCACGATGTGAGGTCCATTCGGTGTGTGGAGGTGCTGGTGGTGTAGTGTGGTGCGGCTTACGTCGGCCATGGGCGAGGAGAGGCTGCAGGAGGGCAGCCAGGCCAACCAACACGATGCCGGAACGACCCATCATCATCGCTAGGGGTCTGCGAACGGAGTGAGTGCGCACTCAGCTGCGGAAAGATCTCTCCCTGGACGGACGCAGAGAGCGACAAACGCAGAAAAACTGGCCCTCTGATTGTCCTGGCCAAAGGAGAGCGGTTGAGTTGCGAGCTTAGCCCACCCTGAAGGGTTGGACCCCCTCATCCCATCAGCCGCTGGAAAGCAGATCTCCCCCAAGAACGAGTGAAGCAATGGAGCACCGCAAGTGGGTGGAGGTTCAGCAGAAGAGCAGGCACCTTGAGAAGTTCGTCTTGGTCCGTCCCTTCACGGTGTCGTACAAGGACAACACCAAGCTGTTCGACTTCACCGTGGCTGCGATCCAATACGCCAAGGCTCACGCAGCTCTCCCACACGTGGTCTTCGAGAGAAGCTACTGGAGAATGCCGCCGGGGTTCAGGTATCAGTGCGCCTGTGGGTGGAGTCGCTGCAGCAGGGCATCATCCCCAACCCCCTCGTCAAGGACCTGTTTGGCAGGGAGGGGGGAACGCCTGAGCACCCCATCGTCGTCGAGATAGATGAGCCAAGTGAGGGAAGAGAGAGCCTCACTCACGGTGTTTCTTGCACTTTTCCATTGTGCCTGCCGTCTGGCCTGTGTGTGTGTGTGTGTGTGCAGATGTGGTGTTGGATGCTACTCGGTGGATTGGCAGCTTCTTCTCAGAACCCGTCAGACCACACTCCTCGCCAGATAACAGAGGGTAAGCAACCAAACCCTTCACTCACCGGGAAGGGCGTGCACCCAGCTATCGCTTCCTGCCTGTGTTTGCTGATCCAGAGCATCGCCGAGTGTGTCTGATCCTTCTCCGTATGGCATCAGTCATCGTTCCAAGAGGGGCGGCGGCGAGGGATGATGATAATTCGTGCGCGTGGCTTCATGGTCCATCCGTTTCCCGACGTCCTTCTTTATCGCGTCGTGTGATCGCACATGCCAACTAGTGACCTGCAGCATGGGTGTCCCTTTTTCCATGACGGTCAATTTGTAGTAGCGGCTGCTGCTCTGAGTGTTCCGCTGCGTTGACGGAATAAGAGGTCTTTCACGTGAGCTCTCTGCACTCTGAGCACTTGGCATTTAGAGGGCATGGCTGGGTCACCGATTCACTGCTGTTGTGAGCTGGCTGAGTACACGGCATCCGGTTCCTCTTGATGACACTCTTATCCTTGTCAGTCAAGCTGTTGGTTCGACAGACACGTACACCCACACATCTGACCTGACCCGTCACATCACATGGAGCCTTGACGAATGAATCAACCACACCAACACAACCCGATCTGATCCGATAAATGCAATCGACGCATACACACCGAAAAATACGGCCGGTCTGGTCTCCATTAGTTTAGTGCTGTGAAGGCCCACCCGACCACGCCCACCGTATGCAACCCCAATTCACCATGCAGAGAATGACCCACCACCCCGCCCCACAGGCAGCAAAAAGTGACTCACGCACTCACTGCCCCCAAAGCACCCACGCCATACCTGGCTGCAACGAATCTACGACTAAGCTGCTATGTCTGCCCCGCCCCCCTCGTATCGCCATCGACAGGCTGCCCGATCGCCACCAGGGGGGACCTGTCGCCCTGGTTGGCTGCTGGAAACGACGCGGCGGCCTCCCCTCCGCTGTTCTCCCATCCCCTGGGCGAGTCCCTCTCCACCTTAACGACCGTCGGCTGCGGGCCGTCCTCCTCCTCCTGGTCGCCCTGGCCGATGTACTCGACCGGGTTGAGCCACGCCAGCGACATGAGCACCTCGGCGCTCACGGCCCCTCCCCCAGATGCCATCTCGTCGAGGGCCAGGTTCTCGCCAAACAGCACCACCTCGTCGCCCACCTGCACGTTGGTTTGCGATGCGATGGGCGTGACGTCGATGGTGGTCATGTCCATCGACACCGCCCCCGCAAGCCGGCACCGGTGGCCCTTGACCAGCACCACACCACGGTGTGAGAGCGACCGGGGGTAGCCCTGCCCGAAGCCCACGGGCACGGTCGCCAGGATGGTGTCCTCCTTGGCTCCAGTGGCCTGGCTGGCGGTGGCGGCGGCCGGGCTCTTGCGGATGGACACGATCCAGGTGAGTGCACTCATGACGGGTCGCAGCTCCGCCGCCCAGGACAGGGAGGGGTCGGCCCGGACGCGCTCGAGTGCGGCGGCTTCCTTGAGGCCGTAGGCGATGCGCCCGATGCGGATGATGCTCATCTTCATCTGATGATACACACATGTGTCACACAGGCGAGGCGCACACACGGTGTGTGAACTAGAAACGAATCAATGTGTGGATCCATTCTTTGGCTTCCTTCCCCACCTTGACGAAGAGGCGGATAAGCGCGGCATCGGTGGCGACAGACCCACATGAGCGTGGCGTGTTGGGGGGGATGACCCCCTCCTTCTCGAGGTGGTCTGCATACCGGTGGAATGCCTGTAGCAGCCTCTCCAGGTCGCCCATGTTGCTGCTCGGCCCCCCGCTGTCCAGGAAGGTCGTCACCAGCCCCACCACCCGCAGGCCCGCCATGTTGGCCACCTGCTTGAGGTCCGCCATCTGGTGCAAAAAGAACCCCGCCCGCCCTATCCCTGAGTCGATCTCGATGTGCACGGGAATCTGCGCACGGTGCCTCTGCGCAATGAGGCTCAGCTCCCGGGCGTTCTCCAGGTCGCCCACCAGCTCCTCCACGCGATAGGGGAGAGCGCACGCCACCTCGTCAGCAAAGGCGGGCCGCACCCGGATGATGCGCGTGGTGTCAGAGAGGGACCGCACAACGACTGCATCGGCATTGGACGACACACAGATGGCCCCGGCGCCCGCCTGGATGGCGGTGTTGGCCATGACCCGCATGTTGTCGCCGCTGGGGGCCTTGATGATGGTCCCCAGCTGCTGCTGCGGGCCAAGAAGGCTCCCGATGCGCTGGATGTTCCACTTGTAGGCCGTGAGGTCCATGACAACGCGCAGCTGCTTGGGCTGGTTGTAGACGGAGTCACGCGGCCGCCCCCCTGCCGCCCCAGCACCACTAGCAGCCGCAGCCGCAGCAGCGGCCATCTCGTCTCCCTTCAACTCTTTCTTGACGACATTGACCGGCACCGGCAGGTTGGGCGCTGTGCTCGCGTCCACAGGCTGGTCGGTGTCCATCGACAGCTGGTCAGTCGTCTGACGCGGCGGGTCGCACGACTGTCCTCTGGATGGGTCGAAGAATGACGCCACTTGCTCGGGCGACATGGCCATGGACAAATCCAGCTCGGAGAGGTTCGACGGCGTGTGTTCGATAGCAATGCGGGCACTCGAGAGGTCGAAACCGGAGTCAACGTCTATCGCCGGGGCCGGCAGACCGCCCAGAGGGTTGCCGTCGCCCATGTCTGATGCAGGGGGCGGTGGGAACGAGTCCACGTCACCCTCGCCCATGCCGAGCATCCCCAGCTGAGGCGTGTCAGCAAGGGAGGGAGGCCCCATATCGGTCCCCTCACGCTGCTGCGACGCCGAGGGGTCCCGCTGCCCTTCTCTGCCATCTCCCTCCTCCCTAATCAACCGCGGGGCGGATGTGTGGGGGAGTCTGGGCACATCCGGTAGGGTGGCGCGCCTGCCGAACGCATTGCTCGGCGGTGGTGCGTTGGTGGTGTCGGCGAAGGCGCTGCGAGATGCGTCAAAAGAGGCGAGTGGGCCGCTGGCGTAGGGGCGCTGGGGGAACGGCTGCGTGTATGGGGCTGAGAAGAGGGGCTCCACGACGGGGGCGCCGTACGAGAAGCTGGGCGGCGTCTCGAAGGGGCGGGCGCCGCCTCCGAAGGAAGGGGGCAGAACGAACCCTGAACACAGACATGGACGGCACAAGGCGATGCTTGAGGACGTGCAAACGCATCGGTGCCCTTTCTCCCTCTCGTGTGCACATACCTGGTCCAGGTCCAGGTCCTGGTGGAGGCATCTGGACAGGCGGCGCCCCCGGGTTGCCGAGCGCACTGAAACCGAACGACAACGGCACGGGCGGCGGGTGCTCGACGGCCAGCGGCCCGCCCGGCAGCTGCTGTGGCTGTGGCTCCCCGTTCTTGTGTTGGTGCTGGTGATGGTGCTGACTCCCGCGATGTTTGCTCCTCCCGAGCATCTGGTCCAGGGACTTGCTGTGCGGCTCCGTCATAGATCGGTTGGACTTGCGCGCGCCGGCGAGTTTCCTGTGCCTCTGGTGTGTGCGTCGTCTGCACCACCGGTCGTTCTCACGCCACCAGTCGTGCTCGCGCCACTTGTCGTCGAGGCAGCGCAACACGTAGGTGTCGTCCTTGAACTCGGCCTTGTACTTGCCCCCGCACTTTTGGCAGAAGAGGGAGGGGAGGGGGAGGTTGTGGTCGGGGCTGGGGGGGATGCCGCTGGGCTCGTGGCCCAGACACACCAGCTCGTAGCTGTTCTCGTCCTTGTAGGAGAGCGCCCAGTCGCCCCCGCACCGGACGCAGCAGGGGAACTGGTAGTGGTGCGTACGGTCGCCAGAGCGGCACAGATACAGCACACCGGAGTCGTTCTTGAAGGGAATCCACTGAACACACGACCACAAAGCCCCAATACTCAGATATCTGTGTCCTCCCAAGCACATTCCCCCGTCGTGTTTGTGTGTGTGTTTCTTCCTCACCTGATCGCCGCACTTTGGGCATGGTCCAGGGTTGGGCATTTCAGGGTTGGTCGCCGCCAGGCACGCAAAACCCGGAACACCGACACTCATGTCCAGCATGCCTGGCCCAGGAGCCAGAGGGCCGCCCATCGGCCAAGGTCCAAACGGCCCGCCTGGAGGTGGGCATCCGGGCGATTGGTGTGGCGAGGGGCAGTTGAGTGGCCCCGAGTAGGCCATGGTGGGGGGATTGGCCGATCCTGCCTGCTGCCGGGGGGTCATCCAGCAGGAGGCATTGGCATTGGCCACGAGCGACGGCAGCACCGATGGGTCATCGATGACCCGCTTGAGGTCCGCCTGGGAGAGGCTGCCCAGGAGGTTGGCCAGCACGGGCATCGGCACGTCGGGCACGGCCTTGCTCAACTCATTCACTGGCAGCGGCGTGGCCGGCGGGGGGCTGCGGGACGGCTGGCAGCTGTAGGGCTGCGAGAATGCTGCCTGGTCGGCGGTGGCTGGTGGGGCATGGGATGCGGCACCAGAGCCGACGAACCCTGCTGGCATCGACGAGGAGGCTGCGGGAGAAGCGTCCAGTCCGGGTGCGCTCCCGGTCGGCACACCATAAGCGGAGCGGTCCATCGGAAGACAATGACTCGCTCACCGAGCGAAGGGGTGACACTCTCAGGCCCTCCGGACGCCGTCTGGTGCCCTCCTTGACTAATCGCGAAACACGCATCGATGTGACCTCGAAATGTCCGTTCTGGACCCTTCGGATAAAGTCTGTCCTTACCGCCATCGGGCGATGCGAGGCTTCGTGTCGATGAATGCCCTAAGGGCTCCCTCCACTGCCTCGCTCCACACGATGTCGAAAGGCACAAAGAGCTTGGTCGATCTGGATGGGGATGAAGTGGGACTACCTCGCGAACTCACAGGTGATTCGTGGAGCCTTGGGAAACAACGATTTGTGCCGAACTTCGCGCCTGCGAGCTTAAGAGCGACCAAGAAAGGAGGAACTGGAGTGGCGAAGCAATGAGCTCACAGGGAGGCGTCGAATGAAAGTGTAACACCAGAAATGAAGATCCGCAAAGTTCCACACATCCACTGTGTTTGTCTGTGGTTTTTTCTGCTCTCTCCCAGAGTGGACAGCAACGCGGGCAACCTGACTAACGTCGAGGTGGCAGAGCTGCTGCGCGAGAGCCTCGCCAAGGCCGCGGACGCACACACCACCCTTGCTGACATCTCCGACGATGAACTTAGGGCCAGGACGCTGCACCAGGGGGTGAGTGAGGCAGAATGAATGATCAATGAGGGCACACACACGCACAGGTCAATTGAGTGATGCCGCGCTCTGTTTGCAGGTTGTTGACCACATCGAGAGGCTGCCGTGCGGCCGCTTCCGTGTGAGCGATGCCGAGGCGCTCACAGGGGAGCTGATCGGGCGGTTCGACCTGGCCGAGGCGGACGTGCTGCAGATCATCAATCACGCGCCGACCAGAGAAGTGGAGCTGCAAATGGTGGGCGGGCGAGGGGAGATCTCGAGGGGAACCAGGCAACTACCGGCCATGGCAGGCAATCAAGCCTCGTGAGTTGCTTCTTCTCTCTCCACAGGTGGTTGAGAGTTTGTATGAGCGTTTCTCTGCCGAGGACATTGCTGAGCTGCTGCAGATGGTGCAGAAGCACGTCAGCAGTGCCGCCGGACCCACCAGCAGCGGCAGCACGGGAAAGCCGACAGGGGGGACGCTGGTGGTGACGGAGTGAATAGCGTGTGTGGGACGGGTGGGTCGGTGGCTGAACTTTTCTAGTCCGTCTACGAGAAGGGAATGAGAACACCGGTTGAGTTGACTACGAACGAAGGAGTGTATGGCCGAGTCGTCCACACACATGAATCAACTCACTCAGTCACTCACTCACACCACACACGAGAAAGAAGCCCAGTCCAGCCAGCCAGCCATCAATCAAGGGGTACATCCACACCCGCACCGCACATAATGAGTGCTGCAGTCATACACACACGACGCCGCCCGTCCGTGTGCGTGACTACGGATGGCATCCGTGCGATGCAGGGAGGCAGGCAGGGAGCGGGGGAGGAGACATGTCCAGCCATCCCATCGCTCCATGCATTCATGCATTAGTCAGCGACCGCACCACCACCACACCCTCCCAGGCACCCACCCGTCCATCTTGTCTGCCAGAGGAAGCATGACTTCACCCTCCCTCCCTCCCCAGTCAGTTAACTTTCCCTAGTCAGTCAGTATCCCTCAGCCAGTTAGTCAAGTACTTAAGTTAGTCACTCACTCGTGTCGTGAAGGCGGACGGCCGGCCGTTGAAAGCTCTAGGCCACCCACTGCTCACCAGCCTGCCTGCCGCAGGTAGGCGTGTACACTCGTATCGTACGTATGGCTTGAAACCGATGTGATGTAGTGTCTGTCGTCGATTGTCCATCCATCCATGGGGTCAACTAGCCAGCCAGGCATGCAGCCAGCCAGTCAACCACACAGCCACACCCTCACGCCCACGCCCAAACGCTCTCGCAAAGCCGCTAGACAAGCGCAAGGAAGCAGAAAGACAGATGGAGGGAGGGAGGGAGGGAGGGAGGGAGAGGCAGAGACAGAGAGAGAGGACCATGTGACCTGTTTCTGCTCTTGGAACAAAAAATCTGTGCCAGACAGACAGATTGTGCGCGGTGAGTACGGACGGTTAGGCTAGTGTGGACGCGTCACGATCCCCCTGCCACATGCCTTCCAACGAGACAAGGCAAGGTCTCTCCAGGCCTTTTGTTGGCCTGGAGCCTCAATGCCCTCGCCGGCGTGGAAGGCACGTGTTGCGGGGAGCCGCGACAGACACACTGGACACCAATATTGCATCATTCCATTCCGTGATCAAGACGGGCAGATGGGTGTCATGCAGCGCTCGCCTATAGTGTACAGACACACACACACACACACGGACAGTCAGTCAGTCAGTCAGGTCCCTCCCCTTCTCGGCCTCTCTCCGCAAAACTGTAGATGCCGGGGCGAGTGGTGGTGGTTGCTCGCTCCCTCTTCTCGTCAGCTCAGGTCACCCACCTATCTCCCTCCTGTCTGTCTGTCTGTCTGTCTGCCAGAAGTGGTTGCTCTCTTTATCCACGCATTGACTCCGTCGGCTCACGAGAAGATGAAGAATAATGGCAGGTAGGTGTTAACCACCCGACGAACCCCTGTGTAGTGTTTGTGTCCGTGTCCGTCCGTCCGTCCGATGCATCCACGCACACGCCCACATACGTTGGCATGCACCCACCCCACCCGCCCCATGCAGTCAGGCACCAGCAACCGCGGGAGAGAGAGAGAGAGAGAGGGAGAGAGAGAGGAAAGGAGAGAGGGAGAGAGGTCTGGCTGCGATGAAACCGTTCCTTCCTTCGTTCTTCCTTTCTTCGCCGCCCACTCAGCCAGCCAGGCCACCCACTTAGGCACCGCAGCCACCACACCACACGAACACACCCACACACCCACACACGCCGCCAAGAGAGAGACCGTATGTGTTGCAGAGACAGAGGACGCAGCTACCTCCTGGTCGGTGGTGTGTGTGTGCGAGTGGGTGTGGGGGGTGGGGTGTCTTTGTTGGTGTGTGTCACTTCCGCCCTCCTCCCTCCCCGTCTGTCTGTCTGTTCTTCGTGTGCCTCTCTCTCAACAAAATCAAATCACTTCCGTCCATCCATCCATCCATCCGTCAGCCACCACACCCGGCCAAACACCCGACAGACCCTCTCATTTCCGTAACACAGCAGCCAGCCAGCCAGCCAGGCACAGCCATGCTTCAAAGAAATACCTCACCGTGTGTGCCGCCCCCTCTCTCTGCTGTGCTGTTTGTGAAACTAGAGGAACCACCGTGTGTGTCCGTTCGTCCGTCCGTCCCGTGGGCGCGTCCAGATGGGTGTCCTCGCCACAAAAAGGGCGAAAGTGGCGCATGGACACGACACGCAGACGGACAGACAGACAGGCAGAGAAGTGGAAGGTAGGCAGTGTTGCCGTAGGGAGGGAGGGACGACACACAGGCAGAAAGTTGCAGCCAGACACCACTCACTCACCCCCCCACATAGCCGCATACATACCCACATACACAACGAGAGTACGAGAGCCACTCCACGCCATATCACAGCAGCCCCGCCAACCCACCTTTTCCCCCTCCCCTCTCCGACCCTCAAGTACTCACGCATGCCGCCCCGCCCCCCTCTCTGCCCGCCAACACACCCGCCATCCGTCCGTATCAGCTAGGAGACAGGCAGGCAGGCAGGCAGGCACCAGGCGGCGAGAGAGGAGAGGATTACGCACACACACGATGGATTGGATGGGCAAGAGGGGGGAGGCAGGCAGGCAGGCAGGCAGGCACGTACACATCCACGCAAACAACACAACAACACGCACGCCAGCCGTTCGGTCGACAGTCCGGTCGTTACTACAGGCTACGATGGTGGTCGCGGTGGGTGCGGTGTATCACCGCACACACACACGACAGGCAGGCAGGCAGGCAGGCAGAGAGAGATGCAGAGGGAGAGAGGGGGGGAGAGAGTGGGGGAGATCCATCCATCAGTGGCGTTAACCACACGAACGGAACCGGCAAATCAGGCGGACGCGCGAGGAAACAACCTGACATTGAACACAACACAACACACGTATCGTATCGGTCTGTCTGTCCAGTGTGTGTAACTCGCGGGTGGCAAGAGATGACTTTGCTCACCTACCTTCACTTGTCCCCCTTCTTGGCCTTGCCCCCCTTGCCCTTTCCTCCACAATCGCCACCACCACCACCAGCAGGGGCAGCGGCAGCCGCACTGGCCCCGCCGCCGCCCTCCTCCCCGCCGCCTCCTCCTCCTCCTCCTCCCGTCTGGGCGCCAGCCCGGAGCGTGGCCTGGTGGGCCAGCACGCGGCCGAGTGCAGTCTTGACACGGTTGGAGTAGTAGGTGATGCGGCGGTAATCTGGCTCGGTGAGGCGGGTGGCGCGGGGCGGTGGCATGGCGGCGGCAGCTGCAGCCGCCGCAGAGGCCGATGCGCTGGCACTGGCACCGAGCGAAGGGTTGGCGTTGGCGGCGTGGTTGGTCTTGATCTGCATGTTGGCCACACTGGCACCGCCGCCCTTGGTGGCCGCCGCTGATGCCGACGCGGACGCAGATGCGCTAGTGCTGGTGCCGCCGCCCTTGTCATCGCCCTCGTCTCCCTTGCCGCTCCCGCCCTTGCCCCCTCCCCCGCCCTCCTTGCCTTTGCGACCGGCCGCACCCGCCAAAGGGGCGGTGGCCTGCACGCCCTGCTGTGCCGTCTTGACGGACCCATTGCCACCCGACGGTGTGAGAGGGAAGGAGGCCCCACCCACGGCACCACCGTGTCCGTCGTCGCCCGAGCTGGTACCGCCGTCCTCGTCCCGCCCGTCGGCCTGGATGTCCCCCAACTCGCCCATGCCCAGCCCCACCCCCTTGCAGTTCAGCAAAAAGTGCTGCGACAGCGAGTGACGCGAGCGACGCGACGCGGCCGTGGATGAGCACGAAGACGAGCTCGGTCCGTCCGCATCCTGGTCCAAAATCTCGCCGCCTCCGCCGCCCGCGCCGGCCGGCTTGCAGCTGTCCGTAGTGGGTGCCTGGAGGGGGTCGCGAATGGGTGATGCCGTCAGGGAGCGGTCGTCCAGCCCGTTCCCGGAGCGGCCGTGTGTGTTGGTGGTGGTCTGGCTGTGGCTCGAGCACGCCCCGTCAGAGTCGCACTCGGTGCTGAGACTGTCCTGGTTGTCCACACACGCCTCGCTGGCCGTCGGGGGGGACATCCCGCAGCTGCTACTGACGCCGGAGGCCTTCTGCGAACCACCAACGCCCTTCAAAGGCAGAGTGGGTGGGTCTCCCGTGTCCTGGCAGACGAGACAGACATGCCGGGCGAAGGGTGTCGGAGGTATCCGACGACTTTTCTAGAATGATTGACATGGCCACTCACTCACCGACTGTCGCTGTTCCTTCTTGTCAGCAGAATCCTTTGTTCTCTGCTTCCTGCAGGCACACAGAGCAAACAGCACAGCCACATGTGACCGTATACCCTGACAGACCGCCATAAGGAGCCACTCCGTCGTGTCGCCGGCTTCCCCGGCTTCGCCAGTGCCTCACCGATTGGTCATAGCTCCGACGGCCTTGCCCAGAGCGCCGGCGAAGCTGGTCGAGTCCTTCGGCCGTCCTCTCAGCCCCCCCTCTAGCAAAGCTATACCTTCAACTCCTCCTTCTGACGGCGGGCACGCCTCCGCCCTCATACAAATCACCGTCCTCTCCCTCTTGAGCTTGCGGAAAAGCTCGCCTCTCCGAAGCGCGCATCTACAATGGAGGAGGGATTTGAGGTGGCTGGGCACCGTCTGACGCTGTGTCCAAGGCCTGATGAAGCCGAAAATCTCGGGACGGGCGTCCATGTGTGGGATTCGGCACGAGATCTGGCCAGGTATCTGGAGCAGCAGAGGACGACGTTGCGGGCTCTAAGGAAGCGCGGGAGAGTGCTGGAGCTGGGCGCGGGGTGCGGCCTCGCTGGGATTGCGTCTGCGACGGTGGGCCAGCCACCGGCGGCACTCGTCCTGACTGATCTGCCAGGTGCCTGATACAGAGATCCGTGTCCTCTGCGCATGATGGATCATTTTCTCTGCTTGCGACGCGACGTGGTCAGGTATTGTTCCCTTGCTCACCCAGAACGTCTCACTGAACCGGGACACTCTGCACCCTGACACACAAGTGAGCATATTTGCCTTCGACTGGAGAGATTTGCCACCGCGGCCAGAGCTGTCCTCAGTGGCGCCGTTTGACCTCATCCTTGGGGCCGATGTGGTCTTCCGCCTCGACTTGGTGCGGCCGCTGATTGACAGCCTCGACGCGCTGTCAGACGCAGCGACAGAGATCCTCGTGGCGTTTGAGATACGCTGTGATGTGACGTACGCGGCGTTTCTGAGCGTGGCTGGCGAGAGGTTCGGCGTCAAGCGGGTGTATGTCAGGAGAGGGGGGAGCGGCTTTGTGCATATCTATCAGCTGCGGAAGAAAAGGAGAGGCCGAGTTGACTGACTGACTGATGTGGCAGAAAGGACTGTTGATAAGCAGCTGACTGCTTGTGAGTGAGGTGGGGAGGTTGAGTAGTGTCGTGCCTGCGTGTGTGTGTGTGTGTGTGTGTGCGTGTGATAATAGCTCGACTTAAATTGCAGGTCAGTCAGTTCTCATCCATCCATCCATCGGAGGCAGGCAGGCATCTCAACGCACACACGGACACACGGACACACACTCAGGTCATGCAGACGAGACTCTCAAGCAAGCCATCCCCACAAGCAGGCAGACAGCCAGACATTCATTCAGTCAGTCAGTCGATGAATCGGGCGGGCAGCATTCAGACACTCCTCTTCAACACACACACACACACTCACATGTCTGCAACCTCGCTGAATGAGCCAGCCGGCCACGCTCTCACTCACCTCAGTCAGCAGGTAGGCAGGCGGGCTGCATGCACAGACAGACAGACCGACAGGCGGGGAGGGAGGGAGGGCGGCAGGCAGGCTGACGGAAACACTCAGCAGGCGGGCAACCGACCATCCATCCATCCATCCGGTGTCCCTCACTCTCAGGGAAAGAAAAAGACTGCAAAACACCCCACTCCCATTCCAACCCATTTCACCCCATCCCATCCACCCGACCCGCTCCCCGCTGCAAGACACAACACCCGCCCCCCTTGACCCACCTACAGCGTATGCACCACCCACATGGAGGTAGGTCGCCGCTGAGCGAGGCGAAAGGGCTGCCTTGGTTGTGCCAACAGCACCTTCAGTCGGTCTGCGTCTCTCCCCCAAGAGCCACAGACGACCAAGGGCCGCCTGCCTGCCTGCCTGCCTTCCCGTGTGTTTCTTGCATATAATGGATGTGCGCGGGTGTGCTGGTTGGTTATGGATGGATGGATGGATGCCGCCCGCCCTGTTGAAAGCCCCACGCACAGAGAGAAGAGAAGCGAAGCGAAGCCAAAAGTCACGTCACCGTCCGGTGGATAGATAGAACCCGCTCACATGGACTGACTGCCTGTGTCTGCCTGCCCTGCCACTTGAGGAAAAAAAGGGCCGCACACACACGCCTCGCATCGCGTCGCATCGCTCAGCGCGACAGACAGACAGACAGACAGACAGAGAGACAGAGAGACAGAGAGACAGACAGACAGACAGACAAACAAACAGCGGCCGGGGCAGAGCGGCAAAGAGAAAGAGTCGCACACGCACCAAGACTCATTCTGGAATCACCCTCCCTCCCCATGTGTGCTGAGTGAGGTCTGGTCTTGGATGTGTGTGTGGTGCCACCCTAGGTAGCTAGAGAGAGACAGACAGACAGACAGACAAACACACAGAAGCCCACAAACATTAAACCAAGCACACACTGACCGAACCACCTGACCGACGGATGGACTGAGCAGCAGCGTGCGATAAACAAACAACACAGCCCTCTCTCTCTCACAGCCCTCCCTCACTCATTCGCCCGCACACAGCACTCTGTCTGTCTGTCTGTCTGCTCGTCGTCACGAAAAATCGGAGCGCCCCCTTGTGTGTGAGTGCTCCATTACTGTTGGTTTGGTTTAAGCATCTCCTGCTGTCGAGTCCTCGGCAGCCGCGTCGCCCTCGCCCATGAAGCCCCACTCCTGCAACATCGACGCCAGCACACTTTCGTCTGCACACACACACACGCACGCACGCACACACACGCCAGAAGCACATGAGCATACACACCGGCTTTGCTTTGCGTGTGCGGCCTGACTGTCTGTCTGACCGTACCATGTCGGGATATGACGTAGTCCCTGCCAAAGTCCTCGATGAGTTTCTCCTTGGCCGTGCGGCTGAGGCTCGGCACCGCGCCGATGGCAGACGGACCCAACAGAGAGTCCAACGCATCGCGAGCTGACAGACGATACACACACACACACACATGCAACCACTGGCAATCGCTGGCCGGCCTCTCTGGCCTCTCTCTCTCTCTCTCTCTCTCTGTCTCTGTCTTCTGACTGACATTGCTCGAGGGCGCTTTTCCACGGCTCCTGCTTGGTCTCTGCCGCTGCATGGAGCTCCGCCAACACGAGGGTGCCGTAGTCGTCGAACTCGCCGACCAGGTCGTGCGCCCGGGTCAGCAGATCCTCGAGCTGCGGCCTGCCGATGGGCCCCTGCTCCAGCTGACTCCGCAGAGCCGACACGAACGGCGCGTAGGGGCCGAGAAGATCCTGAATGGGACAGGGAGGGAGAGAATATGCGCGTGTGTGTGTGGGCGTGTGCGTGTTGGTGAATGATGAGCAGACCTGTTGAATGTCGCTGAGGTCCCTGGTGTCGTTTTTGTTGAGGAACGCCCGGAGCTTCCTGATGGCGAGGAGCCAGCGGACGGGCCTCTTGAAGCAAGTGCCACACACCTGTCGGAGGATCTGCACACAGCCCGCCCCGCCACAGACACCGAAGGATGGGCGGCCGGGTGCAGCCAGACTGCCTAACGATGCACCGTATCGTACCTCGTTGACGCGATGCTCATTCTCTGGCGAGTTGGGCGAGTTGAGGCTGGCGAAGAAGGCCTCGTCAACACCCGGCGTATTGCCTGACACACACCCGTTATGGACACAACACACACAGCACACGTGTGTTGTGTTGTGTTGTGTGGGTGAGGACCCTGTCTGTGCTGTGTGTTTGTGGCTTGGCTTACGGAAGGCCTCCTTGAGGGTCTGGTAGAGGATCTCAGCGTACATGTGTGTGGCCTTGGGGTTGTCGAGGCAGTAGTCGTCGAGCGAGCTTCGCCGCTCGCCGTCCTCGCCCACGTCCTCGCCCAGCTCCACAAAGTGGTTCCACCTGCACCACCGAGGGAGACACACACACAGAAGGATGTGTCCGTCCGGCCGTCTGTCGTCTGTGTGCGTGAGTGATGCGGTGCGGGCGGACATGTTGACGATGTCGGCGAAGGAGGCCACGCCCTCGGATGCGAGCAGGACCAGCAAGTCGGCGTTCTGCTGGCACTTCTTGACGTCCTCCAGGCCCTGCGAAAAGATCTGCACACGATACAAGACAAGTCACACACAGAGAGAGGGACAGACAGACAGACAGTTGTGCAAGGCACACACACAGAGCAGTGATCCGAGTGGAGTTGTGTCAGTCTCTCTGACCGCCATGAGCTGGGTCCGGTGAGTCTCCTCGTCAAGTCCGAGAGCCTTCCACTCATGCACCGTGCGCCTAAACCAACAGCCAACGACACACAACGCAACCAGTGCACTCAACAGTCACAATCGCCAGCCGGTTGCTATGCTGCCCACTCACTCCCAGTAGTGAGTGTCATAGTCCGACACGACCCGCTTGACGTCGTCCCGCAGCACGAACTCGTCGCCCTCGCTCTCCTGCTTGGGCGGCACACCGGGGGAACCCTCGGGCGGGCTGGTCGGCGCCGCGAAGCCCAGAGAAGTGGGCGTCGCGGGAGTGGGGGGCGCTGAACGGTCCGCGTCGCGACGCACTGCACGTGGATGGATGGATGGATGTCGTGCGTGTGAGGGGATGGTCTTCTGTGTGTGTGTGTGGCGTACCGTCGAGTGGTGCTGGTTGTGCGGCGTGTCTCTCGGCCCTGCTCTCCCTCTCGCGAATGGGCGCCAGCGGGCCGGCGTGGGTGCCGGCACTGGTCATGTGCACCACACGAATGCTGTGTGCATCATCATCATCATCACACACACACACACACGCACACACACAGAGAGGACAGCACAGCAGGGCAAGGACGGTCATCAGAGGGACGTTTTCTAGGTGTGTGTCGTTTAGCTCAGCTTGCTTACGGTGCGGCCGGTTGTTGTGTGGGCGTGCTGGTCTGGGACTTCTCCTTCTTGGCCTTCTCCTTGGAGTCGAACGCCTCGCGCTGCTTGTCCATATAGGACGCGTAGATCGTCTGAAGGATGGATGAACCGACCAACCAAAAGACATGGTGGATGCGTCAAAGTGTGTTTGGTTGGTGTGTGTGTAATGGTGTGCGTGCGTACGTCGGTCTTTCTGCCGACGAACTGGAAGGTGCCTTGCTGCGCCGCGTGGATGGCACCGCCCATGGCCTCCTCCCTCTCGACCTGACAAACAAACGGCGTATGAGCTTTGCTGCCTCTGTGTGCGATGTGTGTGGGGGGGAAGGGGAGTGTGCTCACGTCCTTTCTGATGTCCCTGAGCGACTTTGCCTTCTCCTTGTGCACCTTCTGCCGCCAGTCGTTCTGACGCAAATCCAATACGTCCTGCGCAGACACACACACGATGGCGTGAGGGAGGGAGAGACCGACAAATGGACATGCCCTCGTGCCCAGGTGCGTACCTGTAGTGCGAATTTGATCCGCTTGGAGTACTTGTCCTGGGCCTTGAGCTCCTTCATTCGGCTGCTGAAGTGCGTCAGCAGCTGCTTGCCGGCGTCAGTGGACTCGAGCGTCGATCCTGAAGCCATAGCGACCGCACCTCGGCTGTCTGCCTGTCTGTCTGCCTGTCCTCTCCCTCCCTCCCTCCCTCCCTCTCTCTCCCTCTGTGTGTTAGTTAAGAGTACCGACCGATGGTCGTGATGAGCTTGCAAAGGCATTCGATGAAGAGCTCCTCTGGCGAGTAGGAGGCGTCCGCGCCGATGAGTGAGGTGACGACCTCCTTGACGACCTTGGCCGACAGCAACCGACGCAGGAACAGCTCCCCGATGAACTTGATGTCTACACACACACACACACACAGAGGCATAGCAGAGAGAGTGTCGTGAGTGGATTGGAGGTGCTCACTTCCTAGTATTCGGTCCTTGAGTTTCTTGAGCTTGATCTCCTGGTCGTCGGACGAGAGCTTCGCCTTGTCCTCGTCGCTCAGCGTCATCTTGGTCTCGGGCAGCCTGGTTGTTTACACACGCACACACACAGGAATGATCAAAGTTGTGTGTGTCTGTTGTGTGAGTGCTTCGGTCGCCCCGCCCACTTTTCGAATTCCTCCTGGCACTTGTTGAGGAGCGCCCTGTAGAAGGTCTTGCCCTTCTCCTTCTCGTGTGGGAACTCGGGTGACCGCCAGCGGAGGATCTGGCAGAGGTCAGCGTACATCTCGCTGAAGTTGGGCTCGGACACAGCCTTCATTCATTCATGCGTTGCACCACACCACACACCAGACACACCACAGACAAGACAGACAGACAGACAGACATGGATCCATCCAATGCTCCAATGCGTGGGGGAGGGTGGGGAGGGTGGGGATATGGGTGTGAGTGACCTTTTCGAAAACGATAGCGACAAACAGGTCGAGCTCCTCTTCACTCTGCAGCTGCTCGCCTTGTTGGGCTGCACGCGCACACACACACGGACAAGGCACACACGTGACGAAGCGTGGCCCCCCTCCCTCCCTCCCTCCCTCCCTCCCCGTGAGTGCCACCGAGCTGAGCTACCCACCCACCAAGTTTTTCGGCGATGACTTCGAATTTCTCGATGGTGAGCTTGTTGAGTTTGCTCTTGGCGTCCCGCTCGATGACCTGGTTCCTCTCCGTCGGCTTCGTCACACGGTACGCGTTGGCACTCGGCTTCGGCACTGGAACGTACCCACCGTCCGCTCCAGGGGGGGGCGCTGCCAGCCACATACACACAAAGCCATCCGTCCATCCATCCATCCTTGTACAATGAATATTGCACTGACCCCTGCCGAATGAGCCGGGAGGTGATGCGTAGCTGTACCCGCCCCCGCCGCCGTAGCCGCCGTAGCCCCCGTAGGGGGGCGCCCGCCGGTCGCTCGGAGGGGACTTCTTGGGGTAGCTGTCCAGCCGGGCTGTCGACGGCTTGAAGTCCTGGCCAAACTTCTGCAGCAAGCAAAGGTGCAAAGAATCAGTGCATGTGTGTCGGCGTTTGCAGACAGACAGACAGACAGACGCACCGGGACAGTAGATGGCAGTCCTCCCCCTCCGCCAGGCCGCAGACTGACGCCGAAGCGGCCGGGAGGCTCGCCGCTGACACACAAAGCGATGCGACACACACATCTCCCCATTCATTAATTCGTGAATGGTGCTCTCTCTTGTTTGATTGATGCGACGCGATGTGGCACTTACAGCTTCTTTGTCGCCCGTGAGCCGAAGCCGCCCCGGAACCCAGGCCTGGAGTCGAAGGCGCCTCCTGGCTGCCGCTCCACGGCCGCATCCCGCAGATTGGCCACCTCCTCGGGCGGCTCGTCGCTCACCTGCACACAGAGAGAGCACCGATGCTATGCACCCTGGCACATGGCTTGGCTTGTCAGTCTCTCTGTGTGGGGTGGGGGCTCTGGTGGCTTACTACCGGCGGCTTGTAGGCGAGTAGTCTGTCTCGGGAGTACACGCGGCGGGAGGTATCCTGCATAACACATAATAAATGGCACACGAGCTGAGCTGACGGCTGTCGATGTGTGTGTGTGTGTGTGTGTTGTGTGTGTGTGACAGCGTACGTCGTCTGCAAGCTGTTGTCTGCGGACAATGGTGGGTGGCTGGCTCACTCTCGCCTCAGCCATGTCCTCCCAATTGTCGGGATTCTGATGCACACACGCAATGACAGACAGACAGACAGACAGGCAATGAAGTGCAGTACAGTGCAGTGCAGCGTTCATTTCCCCGCCCGCTGACCTCTTCCTCCTCATCTAGCGGTGGCTCCTCCCCCTCCGGTGGGCCCTCCTCCTCCTGGCCCTCAACCTCGGGCGCCCCGGGCTCCTCCATCTCACCAGCAGCTGCCGCGGCTGAACCTGCAATGCAATAAACACAGACCGGTGGGCGGCTCATTCTTCCTTGGTTCGGTCGTTCGTCGCCCCATTGGTTGGATTGATTCAGTGACTGACTGACCTGGTTTGGGTGCGGCGAAGGGGTCCTTGTCGAGGTCGCCCTCCTTCTCCTTCCACGACGTCTTTGTGGGGGTCGGCGGGGGCTTCTTGCCCTGGACCACCACCACGCCCGGCTTGGACGGGCTCTCGCGCACAGACACCGGCAAAGCCATCGGCACAGCCGCCTCATCACCCTCCTGCCGACGCTCACGCTCACCCTCCTCCTCCTCAACTTCGGCCTCACCCTCCTCAGCAGCAACCTCTTTTGAAGGCTCCTCGGCCGCTGCTGCTGCTGGTGCAGTCGGTGGCTGCTCCTGCTCTCCCGCTGCTGTTGCTGCTGCTGCTGCTGCATCCTCCCTTGTCTCGTCTGCCACGTGTGGCTCCTCTGGCCGCTCTCTCGGCTTGAGGTCCTCTATGTCAGTGACTGTGTCGCCTTCAGCAGCCGCCGCAGCTGGTGGCGCAGGAGGTCCTGCTGCCGTGGGTGGCGGGGCAGGCGGCTCTGAGGGTGCAGCGGGGGGTGCCTCTGGGGCCTGTGTGGGGGGAAGGGGTGGTGGGGTGGGGGATGGCTCGGTGGGGGCCTCGTCGGGCTTGGGGGCTGGGGAGGTGGGTTCTGTGGGGGGGCCGGACGGCGGGGCCAGGGACGCCTGACAGGACAGCTCGAAGGAAGGACATACAGAGCAGAGGAATAGATACACTCCAAAGGTCGGTGGGTGCATCCATATCCTTTTGTCTCACCTCGTCTGTCTGGTCTTCAACCGCTTTGACGCCCTCCTTCTCTGTGGGGGCAGTCTTGCCTGCCGGCAGCGCCGCGTTGGTGATCTTCTTTTTCTTCTTCCGCCCTGCCCCCTCCTCAGCACCAGCAGATGCCGCAGCCGCAGCGAGAGCCGATGGCTGATCGACCGGCTGTGGCTGTGGCTGTGGCGGAGGCTGCTGCAGCTGCTGAATGGGCGGAATGACCGCCTGGGGAATCGCCATGATGGGCGGGGCTGTGACCAGGGGCATCACGCCTGCCGCTGGGTGGGCAGGGTGGTGCGGCGGCTGCTGTGACTGCAGGTAAGCCATGGCGGCCGATGCATCGGCGATTCTGTCGGCGGGGAATGGCACCACCGGCTGCGGCTGATAAGGAATCACCACAGGAGGCCCCGGCTGCTGCTGGGGTGGCGCTGACGATGGCGCCGGCGCCGGTGCTGGTGCTGGTACTGGTGCAGCAGCCCGGGCAGGCTCAGCAACAGCTGCCGCGGTGGGCGCCGGAGCAGTCGCCTCACTCTCCCCCTTCTCGGGCACGGTTTGCAGGTTGGTCTCGCGCTTGGGCGTCGGTGTCGGGGTAGGTGTGGAGAGAACTTCGATCCGCTGCACGCCCCCCTCCATGGGGAAGTTCTGCAGCCGGCTCCGCTGTGGCGGCGGGATGTACGGCCCAGCCACACCTTTCTGGGGCATCGTCTTGGGCGGCGTCTTGTACGGCTCTGACGGCGCACCACGAGTGTCGGGCCGGCCGCCGTGGCTGCTGCGCCAGCTGTCTTGGTCGCGGCCCTGGGGCGCCGTCTTGGGTGGAACGATTCGCTCTGAGGGAGAGGGCGTCTCGAGCAGCCCCGACCCCCGTCTGTCTCGGGGTGGCATGGCCGGCGGCTGAGTGGGCGTTGGGGGGATGGACGCGGGGGGCGGCTTCTCATGGGGCTGTGGCTGCGGCTGCTGCTGGTGGGGGGGAGGCATCGACGGTGCAGGCTGTGGCGCTGTCGGTGGTGCGGCTGCGGGTGGTGGTTTCTTGGCTGTGATGCCCACATTGCCGATCTTGTTCTTGCCGCGCTTGGCCCGACCCTCGGCCCCGCCCACCTGCTGCTGCTGTTGCATGCCCGCGTCTGGGGGCGTCGGGCTGACCGGCGGCTGCTGCTGTTGCATCAGTGGCGGCTGTTGTTGCTGCATCGGGTAAGAGGGCGCGGGCGGGGGAGGCCGCCCTTGCGAACCCACCACGACGTCAGGACTCATCAACGGGGGCGGCGGAGGCCGAGACGGCCCACCCACCTCGGGCTGCGCCGCACCACCCCCAGCTAGGCTATGCTGGTGCGACAGACTGCCCGGCCCCGCTGCACCCCCTCTCGCCACCTGAGGCCCGGGATAGGGATACTCGGCATAGCTCTCCGTCGTGTGCCCTCTCGTCGCGAACGGCGGCTGGGGCGGCGGCGGCGGCTGGGCGGTCCCCGACGGTCCATGAGGGTAGATGGACGGATGTGGCAGCAGCCCCTGTCCGCTACTCATGCCAGCCCCAGGCATCTGTGAGGGCGTGGGCGGGTGGGAGTGCGCGTGCGGCGGCACCTGTGGCTGTGACGGTGTCGGCATGGCCGACGGCGGGAGGGAGCCAGTGGCCGCGCCCGCCGGCTTCTTGCCCCCCGCCACTTCCTGCTTCAGACCGCGGTTCTCGATGCGATGCTTCCTCTTCTGCTCGCCCCCTGTGGGCTGTGGAGCCGTTGTGGGCGGGGGAGGGGGTGGAGGGGGCGGGGGCTGCGGCTGCCCCTGCGGCATCCCCCGATACTCGCCCCCCTGGCCCATCTGCTGTGGGCTCGCCAACATTCCCTGCGCGCCGGGCGGTGGCGGCTGGCGCACCGGCGCACCGTTAGGTCTCTTCTGCTGCTGCTGCTGCTGCTGATGCGGCATGGGGTGAGGGGGCGGGGGCGTCTGGAACGCAGGAGGGCCGCCATCGCCCTGAGGCGGGCCATACGGGGCACCAGCAGCAGCTGCGGCAGTTGGTGGGTGGTGTGACGCCATATACGTTGGGGGAGGGGGCATCGGCTGCTGCTGCTGCTGCTGCTGTTGCGTGTAAGGAGGCGTCGTAGCAGGGTAGCCAGGGAACGGCGGGGGCCCGCTGTGGCTGCTGACCATACTCGCTGCCGACGCCGACGGGCGGCCGTCGGTTGGGGGATGGCCGACGGCGTCCATCTGGGTGGCGTCGTTGGACGGCTGTGGGCTGCTGCGAGCGCTCTCTGGCGGCGCCATGGTGCGCTGCTCGTCGCTGCTGGCCTCCTTGTGCGGGCTGGGCGAGGGCTTCTCGCCCCCCTTGCCCAATCCCACGTTGGTGATCTTCTTCCGTCGCTGCTGAGACGAGGTCGGCTGGGGCGGCAAGCCACCGCCCGCCCCTGCCCCTGCACCAACACCAGCCGCCATAGGTGCTGGCGGGACGCTTGCTGGAGGTCTGGCCGGCCCGCCATTGGCCTGGGGGGGCACAATGGATGGCGCGGCCGTTGCCGGATGCTGGGGGGGCCTCAACATCGATGAGGCGTCGATCGGCGCGGGGCCCATTCCCGACGGTCGCATGCCTTTGTCGTCGACGGTGCTGCCCGCATCGCTGGATGCGCCATCGCGGTCGCCCCTCTGCTGCTCGCTCTTGCCGGTGGGGTTGATCGTTTGACCGCTCTTGGGGTCCCTTATCTCGAGGATCCTCTTCTCTCGCGGTGGGGGGACGAAGCTCCCACTCTGCTGCTGCTGCTGGTGCTGATGGTGCTGCTGGTCAGGGTACCACAGCTGAGATGCCCCCAGACCACCGCTGTGGCCGCCGTGGGAAGACATGGGCGGCTGCTCCTCACGACCACCCTGACGCGACCCAATCACACACACATACAAGAATGCTCCCTCCTGTGCACGATGGATGGGATCGGTGCACTTGCTGACCAATGGCATGTGGTTTGTGTCCTGGTGGCCGTATCCCTCCTGGCTGCCGTCACCCATGCCGGCCTGGCCGTCCACGGCTTTCCTGGAGCGGGGCCCCAGGTGCCAGGGCTGAAACGTTTTGGCTTGTTTGTCGTCCAGGAGGCTCGACATGGCCCGGGTCACCGGAGGGGGCTGCGCGGGGGGACCCTGGGACCAGCCAGCACACAACACAACACATTGACGCGAGACACACACATGGCGGGAAAGGGGGACGTGAGTGTCTGTGAGGAGCAACAATCGTCCTGTCTGTGAGTGCGCTCAGCACCACCTCACCTGGCTGTTCATCGGCCCTTTGCTCATCGGCGCATCTGCACACACACACACACACACACACACACACAAGCACAAGCACACCAACACAGAGCACAGGCAGGCCACACAGACAGTGGATGATAAGGAGGAAGCGATCACATCACTTCTGTCTGCCTGGGTGGCTGGCTGGCCGACTGATTGACACACATCGCCTCGCTTCAATCGCCCACCCGTCACCCCGTTGCTCACATGAGGGCGGCAGGTTCTCGTAGACATACTCTTGCTGAGGTCCGCCATACGGCCCGCCTCCGTCACCGCCACCGCCACCCCCGACGCTGTTTGGCTGTCCGGCATGCCCCCCGAGCGCGGCACTGGCCGGCGGCGCTCCCACGGCCACGCCCCCCACCGGTGGCATATGCTGCTGTGGCTGCGGCGCGTCGTAGCGCTGGTGACTGCCGTTGTGGACGCTCCCGACCGGCTGACGTCCTACCAGGGTTGGATCACCGGCATGATGCATGGCGCGGCTCCTGTCGGCTGGCGTCACTCGGGTGGTCAACACGCACACATCGTCAGCCACAAGCTGTCTCGCTCACGGTTGCTCGCGCGGGGTGGGGGACGGAGGGGACGAGAACTCGATACGCTGTCTGGTTGGCTTGTCCGGGCAGATCACGACGGACCGCTCGTCGGAACTTGTGGAAACTGCATGGTGCATGTCCACTCAGAACATGCACCCTGTGACCATGGTCGACATGGTCACGGCGTCTGCTGCTTTCCGTCTGTCCGCTAAGCTCGCAGACCTCTTCTTAGCTCGCATGCGCAAAAGGGAAGAAGAAGAGAACCCGGGTGTGCAGTGTGCTGCTAGATGTCACCTCGATAGCTGAGATCACGGCACATCTTTGCCGCCAGATCTCCCGGTCGGCGTCACTACCATTGGTTGACTGACAATCAGGCGTCCCTCCCTCCCTGCCCACACCTATCTCTTATGGCGTGGCAGCCGAACCCGCAGCACCTGTCCACCCTGGTGCAGCTGATGCGCCAGGCCTCCACCCCGGACACCGCGGTGCAGCAGCAGATCAACGCGCACCTGAATGAGTTCTTCGCCCTGCCGGATGCGCTCAACTACCTGGGTCACATCTTCGCCATGATGCCCGAGGAGAGCCCCGATGTGCGGCAGCGGGTCGGGCTGATGCTCAAGAACCGAGTCAGGAGCGACTGGGCGTCGCTGCCGCCCAACAGGCTGGCAGATATCAAGGCCAAGCTGCTTGCCGTCATCAGGGACCCTAACAGGTCTATTCGGTCCACTGCAGGTAGGTCAGCCAGACCGACAGGCAGACAGGCAGACAGACTGGGGAAGAGGTCTGCCATATCTGTCCCGTGAGTGTGTGTGTGTGTGTGCAGGTTCTGCGATAACGACCATCATCATGGCCGGTGGTGCCGGTGGGTGGCCCGAGGCCCTCACGGCGCTCCTCGCAAGCCTCGACGACGCGAACGATGACATCGTCGACGGGTGGGCACACCACACCACACCACACCACACACACGCAGGCAGACACACCACACCACACCACACCACGTGGCTGCGGCGCATGGGCGTGTGCGTGTGGGTGCAGTTCTTTCTCGGCGTTATGCAAGGTCTGCGAGGACGAGACCGACGGCCTGCGCTACCTGCACGACACCGACTTCCAGTCGTTCGTGGCCCACCACCTGTTCCCGAAGCTGTTCGCCTTCTGCCAGGCCGGCGCCAGGCCCGTGTGCCGCAAGTACGCCATCCAGTGCCTCAACTACTTCGCCAACCACCGGGCATTCGACGTGGGGGAGCCGTTCCACGGGTCGCTGCGGAGCTACTGGGAGGCGCTGGGGCAGCTGGCGACAGACCCTGACCCCAACATTAAGCGGCTGGTGTGCACGGGGTTTGGATCCCTCGCCGACACCAACATGGAGGTGAGCTGCGTGAGTGTGGTGTGGCTGCAGTGGGGAGGGAGGGAGGGAGGGATGGTCTGTGTGTGTCTGTGTGTGTGTGTGTGCAGCTGATACTGACTGCGGTGGATGCGGTGCTGGAGTTCATGATAGGGTGCAGCGACAGCGAGTCGTACAACCTCAGGATGGAGGCCATGGAGTTCTGGCAACCCGTCATCCAACACGACCAATGCAGGAACGAGCTCGCCAGGTTCCTCCCAAAGTAAGTAGGGTGGTTCGGCAATCACACCCGCCCGTGTGATTGCATCATCCGCTGATTTGATTTGTGTGATGTCGTGTTTATCAGGCTGATCCCGGTGCTGCTGCGCCACACGGTCTACACCGAATGGGACTACCTGGCGATGGATGTGAGTCAGATCGAGGACGACAACACCGCCGTCCCCGACGAGGCCCACGACATCGGACCCAGATTCCACCAGTCACACCCGAGAGCAGGCCAAGTAAGACGCCCATACACACACACACACACACACACTGGTTGGTGTGTCATCAGGAGAGTGTTGACGAGGACGAGGGCGACGATACGCAGCGGGGGGCATGGGGCGGCGACTGGACGGTGCGCAAGTCGGCTGCACTGGCGCTAGACCACCTCAGCACCCACTACGGCGTCAGCATTCTGCCCCAGCTACTCGGGCCGATAGAGGTAGGTGGGTGGACCTACACACATCTCACACACACACAGGGAGAGGAGACAAAGCAAAAGTTGATGAGTGTGTGTGTGTGTGTATGTGTGTGTGATAGGAGCGGTTGCGGGCAGAGAGTTGGGATGTGCGGGAGAGCGCTGTGCTGTGTCTTGGCGCGATAGCCCAGGGCTGCATGGCCGGGCTCAACCAGTTCCTGCCAAAGGTCATCGAGCTCCTCCTCACTCTCACGAGAGAACCGAAGGCAAGCTCGCCCCCAGACCTCACGGACACACACACGCCCTCAAACCATACACACACATCGATGTGCGGATTGCTGTGCTTGGTCTGTGTGTGTTCTCTCTGTGTGTGGTTGTAGCCTTTGATTCGGACGATATCGTGTTGGTGCATTTCCCGGTTCTCTGTGTGGATCTGCGACAAGCCCAACCGAGACAGATACTTCAAGACCGTCCTGGCAGAGGTGAGAGGCAACAGACTGAGAGAGAGGGTGATTTGGCCAACCCGGCCCCGCCCCGCCCCGGCCCGGCCCCGCCACCCATCTGTGTGTGTGTGTGTGTGTGTCTCCCTTGTGTGTGTTGCCGTGTCCATAGATCTTGAGCCACATGAGTGACCGGAACAAGCGTGTGCAGGAGGCGGCGTGCAGCGCGTTCGCCACGCTGGAGGAGGAGGCGCGCGACCTCCTCGTGCCATACCTGCAGGACATCATTAACACCCTTGTCGCCGCATTCAACATCTACCAGGTCAGCAAGGGCGGGCGCGTCCTCTGCCCTCTCCCCTCTCCCTCTGGTGTTCGTCTGTGTGACCGTGTGTGTGTGTGTGTGGTTGGTTGGTTGGTAGGCCCGGAATGTGCTGATTCTTTATGACGCGATCGGCACTCTTGCGGAGGCAGTGGGCAGCTACCTCAGGCAAAAACAGTACATTGAGGTGAGATCGAGGTCCAAACAACCGCCGAGGGAGATCTCTCGCGAGAGAGGGAACACTGCATAGACTGGACAGCCAGGAAGGTACCTTGTGTGTGTGTGTGCATCCTGGCGTGGATGCCGTAGGCGCTGATCCCGCCACTGATTCACCGGCTGTCCCAGGCCACCGACCACGACGTGCAGCTGATCCCGATATTCGAGTGCCTCACGGCCGTCAGCCACGCACTGGGGGAGGACTTCATCCCCTACATGGAGCCCTTCATCGTCCGCTGCATCCGGACAACCAACTGCGTACTTGACGAAATCGACAAATCCGCCACACAGGCAATGGTCAGCTTCCATGCGCACACACACAAGGGTTGCGGTGCACTGGAGTGCATCCATGTGTGTGTGTGTGTGTGTGTGTGTGTGCAGAGTGAGCGCCCGCGTCGAGATATGTTGGGCGCGGCGTTGGACGCGTTGGGGGCGGTGGTGGAGGCTCTGGACAAGAAGACCCCGCAGCTGCTGCAGACACACGACTTCATCCCACTGCTCGCACGGTGCTGCCAGGTGGGTGGAGACCCGAGATCAGATCAAGCCGAGCAACACACCACACCACACCACACCACACGACGCCGTGTTGTCCCTCCCCTGTCCAGGATTCTAACATGCAGGTGAAGCAGTCGTCATTCGCCCTGGTGGGCGACGTCTCCGGCCGCGCCATGGAGCAGCTCAAACCATACCTCCCACAAATCATGCCAGAGGTAAGGCAGTCACCAAGCGCCCCCCGCCACACCCACACCCGCACCACACAGACAGAGAGAGGGGGACGCATTGCCTCTGTGTGTGTGGTGTGGTGTGTGTGTGTGTGTGTCAGCTGACGCAGCACCTGGTGCACTCGGCTGTGTCTGTGTGCAACAACGCCAGCTGGGCGATAGGAGAGATCGCCGTCCACGGCGGGGGCGACATCATGAGCCCCTACGTCGACCAGATCACCGCTCAGCTCATCACCGTCGTCAGAAGGGAAAACCTTCACAGATCGCTGCTCCAGAACGGATGCATCACACTGGTCGGACAGACAGGCAGACAGACAGCGTATGTGATGCGGGACGGACGGATGGGCGCCCCGCACAGAGCACAGAGAGAGACGTGTGTGTGTGTGTGTGCAGGGCCGATTGGGGTTGGTGTGCACTGCTAAGGTGGCGGTTCACCTGGAGCAGTTCTACAGCCGCTGGTGCTTCATCATGATCTACGCCAGGAACGACCACGAAAAGATGAACGCATTCCACGGTAGGGACCTGGTGGCAGAGGGACCCACACACACACATCCATCCATCCATCCATCCCCCCGTGTGTGTATCTGTGTGTGTGTGTGTGTGCAGGTCTGTACGCCTTGATCAAGGCCAACCCGAGCGTGGCCATGAAGGACATTCCTGTGCTACTCCACTCGCTGGCGTCCATCCCAAACCCTCCAAAGAACCTCGCGCAACTCTTCCACGAAGTCATCACAGGTGCAACCAACCCCCCATAACACACACACACACACACACACGGAGTGGAGATCATCACACTCACCCATCCCTCTCTCTCTTGGCTCTGACCTGACTGCACTGACTGCAGCTCTTCGGCAGCAGGTGGATGCGGCCGCCTGGACGACCATGCTGAATGGGATGGAGCCGCCCATCCGCGACTCCCTCACGCGCAACTACGGGCTGGGCGGGGAAGGTGGGCAGCTCGTCAACGGGACTGGACAGGTGACCGTGCCGTCTTCATGACCGACCAGTGCGGTGCGTGGCCTGTACGTACGTTAGCTAGCTCAATCAATCGCAACACTGTGCGTGGGTCTTGTCTTGCCTTGTCAGTGTCTTGTCTTGTGTGTTTGATTGATGAGTGAGTGAGGCATTTTGGTCGGTGAATGAGTGGGGTGTGTGTGTGTGTGATGTGTGCCCGTAAGGCCGATAGAGCGGGTCAGGCGGGAGGCTGCTGCAGACAGCAGACGGGAGAGAGAGGCGAGAGGCTGGATGGGTGTGAGTTCATGTGACTACATGCATGACCCATGAACTGACCCTTGTCTCTCGCACTCCCTCTCCGACAAACCCGACCCACCCAGCTCATCACACTCATGGAAGGGGAGCGAGTCAGCGAGTGTGAGACGGCGTGTCTTTTATCGCCCGTCCCTCGTCGCTATCTGAAAGACTCGGAAAACCCCTCCCTCAACCAACAAGCACACATGGAATATCGAGGCACGTCACGGCACAAGGCGGACGACCTACTTGACATACATATACTCATGCAGCATAGCGCCAACATGCCTACAAAGAAGGAAAGAAGGCCGATTTCTATCTACTTGAGGCCTTGGCTCGACTCACACATAAATACATACAAACGTGCTGGTACACAGAAGCAGACAGTACATAAATCAAAAGGACAACAGACGCCTTAGACCACCACTCTCTGCTCTCCCGGATCCTATTGGGCTCCTAGCCGGTAGCTGCACACAGAACCACACACACAGACGCGCGCACACACAACACAAACGAAAGAGATCAATCAGGGCCATGTTTATCTTTTCGCAGAGCCCAGACGCACTAATAATAGTAGTACTAGTAAGGGTTCCTTACTAGTAGTAGCTGCTCAGATGAGACGAGCGCCGATATCGATGCAGGACAGGAGGGACAGGAGTGACAATCGCATCTGCAGGCTCACCTGTACCGCCCTTTGTTAGGTCTTCACTTACTAGTAGGGGTAGTAACTGACAGACATACAGACAGACAGGCAGGCAGGCAGAGACACACACAGTCTCTGTGTGCATCCCATCAAGATGCGGTCGTGTCTCTGTGTGTGTGCGACTCACTAGTAGCTGCCGTTTGCCGGCATAAGAATGGGGGAGCCAACAGCAGCAGGCACATCAACACACACAACAACGACCCATAAGTTCGGCCCATGTGTCGACAGTGTGTGCTGTGCGCTGCGCTGACTAGATGTAATAATAGGGGTAGGAGTAATAATAGCTGACAGAAAATACGACGGATCAGATCAACGCAACACGTGAGCCCTGAAAGCTGTGTGTGCGGCTATAGTGAGCGACACTTACTAGTAGGGGTAGCTGGAGGGAGCGGAGCGGACAGGGACACAAACGAATGGGCACTTGCACGCTGGGAGCCGGCCGGCCTGCCTTCATTTTGTCTTACTATCCGTAATAAGAATAATAGTAGCTGCAAGAACGACATGGCAACATGCACGGTCGTGTCTGCTTTCTCTCACCCTCCCGTCTCTCTCGCGGACTAGTCATAATAATATTGCTCGGGGTCCGGGACGTCCTGCAGAGACCATTCCACGCCACGCACTACAGCCGGCCGGCAACCATGACACCCGCCTCCACTGACCTTGGCCTTCCACAGTGTGTGGAGGACACCCTCGGCAAGTCGATACTCCGCCGGCTCCAGCCCGCCATTCTCCAACAGCTGGGCTGTGTCGTTGCCCTGTCTGATGCCGTCGATCAATCGCTTGGCCACAGCCGCTTGCCCCTCAGGCATCCCAGGCAGCTGCTTGTAAGTGGCGAATGTGGGCATCGAAGTGTTCGGCAGTGGGCGAGGAGCGTCGTCCGCCAGCTGCGGCGCTGCGTTGTCGCTCAGGTCGACTGAGGGGTCGCTGACGGGTTTGTCGAGGCCGGTGATCTTGAAGGGCACCACACAATCGCCGTCTTTGTGGAACGACAGCAACACCGTCTGCACACACACATGGGCAGAGGACACACAGGCACTCAGACAGGCCGACAGAGATGGATCCGTGTGTGTGTCCGCTGACTGCAATTGACTGACCACATCGGCGTGTGTGTTGCCGACAGGGACGACGAATGCATGGGCCGTCGCCCCGCTCTCCACAGGCAGCACCACATAATCCTCATACAGCCCATTGTCACCATCAGAAGGTGCGCTCGATCGCCCGTACACCGTGCTGTCATGACACAGACAAAGAAAAGGGTACCTATGCCGCCCGCCTTCTGTGCGTTCAGATCCACCCATTGTGTGACTGCACGAGGATGTCGGCGTTGCCGCTTCGCGAGTTGGCTGCAAGGATGACGTGGGTGAAGCCCATCATCTCGGCCCGGCTCTGCATGCCATGCACAGACGGCACCCAAGAGCTTTGGTCGCTTTACTTGTGTGGGTGCTTCGCTTTGCACCCCCCACCAATTGCAGGGCGATGTAGTGCTCGCTGTCTGCGGGCAGGGTCTCTGCGGGTGCGGATGAAAAGTCGACTCGACCGTCACTTTTGGGCTGCGGAGGCACCATGCTGAACACTGGACACCCGAGGCTGGAGCCGTTCGCTGGCGCTATCGGGGCATCTGGAACAAAGCATACAATGTCATGCACATACCTACGCAGGCAACTGGGGAGCTTCATCAACCTTCAGTCCCAGGTTTCTCTCGCCGGCCCGTCAAGAGTGTGCCGACTTGGTCGACTATCTTCTCGAGTTGTTCCTCCGCTTTTGGTGTGAGCTGACATCGCGAGAGAGTGGCAAGGAGGAGCACACAGCAAAGGGGAAAAGGGCATGGAGGGCGTGGCATCTCGACACGCAGTCTCGGAGATTCCCGCCCCAGCACACACACACACACAGCCACAGTACCGCGTACGGCAGCCGTTGGAAAACAGTTAAAAAAAAGACGCACTCAAGGTCTCTCACGACACACTGCAATGATGTCCAAAAGCCAATCACATAGATGCTACCTTCACTCGCTAAGCGCCGGACTGCGGCCGGACGCAAACAATCGCTTCAAGCCACAGAGTACTGTACCAAAGACAGTCACCAATCTATGTCTCCTCCCGCCTACATGCATCACTCCTTCCTTGTCGCCCTTCCATCCTCAGTACGCTGGTCGCCACTGCCCTATCTTTTGCTATTCATCTCGCCTTGAAGTTCCTGTGACTCATCGCTGGCGGAGTCATGCCGTATATACGGTTTCAGGCTGATAAGGGATGCAGACAAGCTCGACGGGCGCCCCAGCAGCCACTCAAATAGCGTGCCATGGGACAGCGACGTCCGGTTGCCGGCGTGCTGGTATGTCTTGTTTACGGTCGCGTTGATCTCTGGGAGAGACTCACTGACACGGTCTCTTCTCCTTTTGTCGTCAGTGGGCAGATCCAACACGTCTGTCCCCGGCCGTCTGAGTGCCGCATGCGTTATCATTCCCTCGTTTAGCTGAAGCCTCGATGCCGTATCCTGGGGCATTGCCAGCCTGTCTTCCTGCGGTGCAAATCGGTCCATAACGCTCTTGTCGGCATAGCTGCAGCGCATACACGCAATCATGATGCTGAAAAATCGAGAATATGCCTGTGAATGCTTACACAAGTGATCCAAGGATGATGCACGTCACCAGGAGGAAGGTAAGGACGAAAGACACCATGGGAGTCAGTGTGATGCCCCACACCTGCACAGACAAGAGCACACAGATGGGGTTGGGAGGGGATACTCCAGCGGCTTGGTATACCGTGAAGGCAGGGTCTTCAGGTTTGAGAGACATGGATGCCCGCTCGAGGCTCTTTCTTCTCTCGGCTGTGTGTGGCAGGCGGCGCAGCAGGTCATTCAGACGGAACCAGTGCTTGGACGCCACCTTATCGGTGACAGATGGCCATCCACAAACGAAAAACAACGCAACATACAGATCCCGTTCTGCCTTGCTTACATCGTTTGCGAGTCCGCCGAATATGATGGTCACGATGCACAAGAGGATGCCGCTCACAGCCAGGATATACAAGTAGAAGCTCAGCTCCTCCGTCAGTATGGTTGACAGGTACTTATAGCCGGTGTCGCCCGACAAGAAGCAGTACACCGCAAAGGCCGCCTGCCATATCAAGAGGACTGACACATCAAACACACCGCACACAAAGAGGATGTTCGAGAAAAGACGTGTACGCAAGGATGCACTTACTGAGTAGGATTGCTGATATAGAGGAGAAGGCGCCCGCAAGGCATTGCGGCGGAGCTCCAACTTGTCAAGTATGTCTTGCCTGGCAGGCAGCAAGCATGAAATGGCCGGCGCACAGATGGACGCGCGAATAAGCGTGTGTCCCGCCCACCGTGCGTCCAGCCAGTCGGTGAGTGTCTGGTTGAACTCCTCGTCGCTGACCTCGATGAGCCCCCTGTGGTTATAATCACGCATGAAGTGCTTAAGCAGCCGCCAGTGAGACGACGACTGCAGAATAAGCAGACTCAGGGGCTTCATGAAATCCATAGCGATGATCCACGTGTTGAGAATCAGCAGCAGCTCCGCAATCACGGCCAACCAGCTGCAATACACACGAGACAATGCAAGCGGATGTCTGTATGGGTTCTGTCTCACAGGTAGTCTCTGGTGAGCTCATAAGCCCGAGTGAATCGGTAGAACTCCAGATAGTTCATGAATGCCAGCCGAAGGATGCACGAAGCCATCGAGAAGATGAAGGCCGCCGTGCCCGAGACGACACATACGGTCAGGTACTGAGGCATCGTCACCCGAGTCGCCAGCTTCAGTCCCTCGTAGTAGTCCTGAGGAGGAAAGCAACCAGCAACAAGTGATGCAAACAAAAAAGGAGACCAGCTTGCACTACTCACGCGGAGGTGCTCGGGTTTGTCGTGGTACTCGGGTTGGGCAATCAGGTTCTCCAAGTCGTCCGCCCAGAAATCCTCGGCTTCTGTGCCTGGCCTTAGCAGATCTGTTGCCATCCATCGGGCACATTAACATTGTCGGCGTAATTTGGCTGAGGCTCAGGAGCCGTGGATCCTTCTCACCTGTGCCCATGCTTCGGTTGTCCTTTGTGTTGAAGCAAAAGGACTGGACGCCCCGAATCATTGCCACCAGGACGGCCAGCACCAAGGGAAAGATGGCGTGGAGGAACCGCTGCACGTAGAAGAGGTATGCGATGACGCCGAAGAGGCTCACAAGGCGCATGACGATCATCGCCCAGTGAATAATCATCTCCATAGTCGTCACATCCCTGATTGGGTTGACAGAAATACAAAACGCGACTACTTGACTGGACCATGTCTCCTGTCTTACCATGCAAAGGCAGTCGTTTGGTGGCCGACAAACGAGAGGACGGATATCCATGACGCTGTGAAGAGCCAAGACACACCCGGTGCTCACGTCTGTCTTAGCTCTGTCCTTGCCCTTGGTCACCTTTACTAAAGCTGTAGTCGGATGGCTCAGGCAGAAGGCTTATAATATCCTGGATGCAGCAAGACCACGAGGATGGATGTACGCGTCCATCCGTCTATCCATCCATACGAGCCCACAGGCTGCGATATGGCTTTGCTTACGATGTGGGGCCAGGAAGTCATGTAGACGAGCAGTGAAATCACAACAAGCCACAAAGCATAAGACACCGACGAGATTATGGTCACGATCAAAGTGAAGCGCTTAAGAAACGAATCCACATCGACAACCGGACAGCTGCACAACAATGACAGCATTGCCTTGACAGCCATTTTCGAATCATCATGTCATTTACTTGAAAAGAGTCGCAAGGATCGCCGTCCTTCGCTTGTTGCGGCTGGCGCTGTCGGCTGCATCGGTGGACGCATACTTGTCGTCGCCCCTCTTCTTCATCTCCTTGGCCGTCTCAGAGATGTTTGCTCGCCGCACCGCCGCGAGAATACCCTGTGAAGCCATCAGCCGCCGTATCGAATCAGGTTCACTAGGCGGGGCTTCAGACGAGTTGGTGCTGCTCAAGGCTTCTGCATCTCGGTGCGATATTGACGTGTTGTTATCTCTCCTCTCCACGATCGCTCTTTGCTGGAGAAAGATATGTGGATTTCGTACTTGTTCAATCACCGCTTGCAATGTGAGCTTCAAGTGCCGCGGCGTGAGGAAGGGGTAGTGGCTAGGGGCGGTCATCTTGCGCACAACTGCCAGCTCAGACGCAAGTGTCGCCCTCTATACAGACAGAAATACGCATGGCTATCCGAGAAACATACGTGACTGTTCATTGAGAAGGCTTACCCGCAGGGGATTTGCATCTTTCGGATCTGTGAATTTCGGAAAATTGGATGGCAGCATGTCGAGGATGTGGAGAGCTGCATTACTATCTCGAGGACCCCTGCAGCGGGCAACCCACCAATCAAGGCCTTCTGCAGACGATACAGTTCTTACTTGTACTGAAGCATCGACAGCACGTTTTCGACGGCCTTGGGACGAGCCTCGATTATTGCGTCGACCTCATCGTCACTCATCATCACTGCAAACCAAAAATTGGCATTTGCCCATTCGAGGCTCGTACGGATTGCTTACATGCCGCTGTGTAAAGGGCCTTGTCGATTTCCTTGAAGAATTCGCCCTCGACTGCAACTCGGAGGAGCAGTCGAAAGCTGTTCTTCTTCTGTAGGGCGACAGACTTCGGCAGGGCAGTCTCAGAGAGATCGTTCGGTGTGTCGAAACGGAGGAGGTCGAAGCTCTGCGCCAGCAAACAAACAAACAAACAAACAAACAAACAGACACACAAGGAGACCGAGCCGAGCGCCACTATATCGATCGCATGAATGTGGGTTCTACCGGCGAAGGCCTGCGCGAAATCAGTCTGCTGATGATGTCGAAGTCCTTTGTTTGTTGGAGAGCATCGAGAATAGCTGTGTCTCCATCCACTGGGTTGAGACAGGTATAAAGTGTCTTGATGCCCTCCAGGTCACCGAGGTTGTTGCCGCTCTCCATGGCCGCCAGCAGAGGTGTGTCGCCTGCCAAGAAACACGATGTCAGACTGTTGGCGGAACTGAGTGACTCAATCGAGTACCTGCTTCATCTGGTTTGTGTGGATCGCAGAACTTGGATCCTGGCAGTCTGGCTTCGACTACAGCCTTGAAATGGCTCAAGAGCTCCTTGATAGCTCGTACATGGCCATTGTGCGCCTCCCACTTAGAGCAAGAACCGATGAGACAACAAAAGGCGCATCAGGCTTGCCGCGTACCATATGAGACCCCTTCCTTTATCGTCCTTGGCCGTGCACAGGAAAGCATCTCGCCCCTTTTCTGCCAGCTGAGCGCGGCACACAAAGAGGCATCGATAAAGCATCAAGACACATTCCTGCTGACAGTCGTGTGTTTTTTCACCTTAATGACTTTCATCATAATATCTTCGGCAAAGTTATTGGATGCTGCGTTGATAATTGGTGAAACACCGTGAGGATTGTATTTGTGCAGGTTTTCGGGGTTTGGCGCCACGCCCTTCTCAAGCAAAAGCCGTGCAAATGAATCTTCCTGAGAAAGACAAAACACGGTAAAAGAGAACAGAAAAATTCTGCGTTCGCTCAACTGCATAAGTTAATGCAGTCGAAAGAGGCGTGTCGGACACCTAGCGAGCATACGCACAGCACAAAACGTCCAAAGCACTAATCGATTTTTCCCGTTTTCCTCTCTTGCTCCTGACCAGATTCGGCGCAGTGATATCTAGCAGAGGCGATGCCGCGCTCTGGCTCTCATCATCTCGTCTTTCGCGATGTCTCTGCACGAAAACTCGCGTCTCTGTAGAAGCATCTACGAGGCTGCTGAAGCTCACATCGTCCTCAGGCTCCACGAAAGATGCCGCGCCGCCCTCGGACGTAGTCGCTGATGGTGTCGCGGCGTTCTTGCCAGTCGATGGTTCCTCCTCGCGACTTGCAGGGGGCTTCTCTTTCTCGATAGGAATCCACTCCCCTTCTTCCAATTTGCCGCGCGCAGGGCGTCGGGTTGGCGTGTGTCCCTCGGTCATCTCTGTCGGCTTCTCCTCCACTCCCTCGTCGCTGCTTTTGTGAGGTGGTGGCCTTGGCTCTTCTTTTCCTTTCTCACCACCGACATCGGTAGGGCCCGTTGCTTTCTCTCTGTCCTCGACAGCCGCTATGAAAGCTTGAAGGGCGGGAACACTTCCCCTACGGATAGCAAGATGAAGCGCCGTATCTCCTTTCTGGAGAGACACAGTGGCACATGCTGAGTATACATGGGTAAAAACATCTCTACCTTTGTCTTCTTTGTGAGGTCTGCGCCCGACTTGACCAGCAAGCGCATTAAATCATCGTCACCGCCCTCGACGGCATGCATCAACGCACTTTTGCCATTCTGTCCAGACAAGACATGAAAGCTCATGCCTTAAATCCTGCAGTACTGTGAGATTCGACTTGCCGCGTCTTGAATATCCATGTCAGCCTTCTTGTCGAGGACAAGCTGCACGATGCCTGGATTATGGCCGAGTACAGCACGCATCAAAGGCGTCGTTCCATCCTGACGAAAACGACAGACGTAAGCTGGTTGGCGTGCCGCATGTTGTGTTACCCCTCTGGGAAGGTTTATGTCGGCTCCGCCCTCCAACAAGGCTTCTACAAACCTTTCCGCATCAAGCCGCAGCTTCATCGCAGTGGTCAAAGCAGTGTCTCCTCCCGCCTGGCAACAACACGCACAAGACGGTCGCAAGCGTGCCGAATCATCGCGCGATTCGCTCACTCTCGTCTTGTAGTTGAGTTCTGGAGATTTCTGAGATGAAATTGACAGAACACATGATCTTCGCGAGGACAGTTCATTGAATGGACTCTCACCAGTGTGCACAGGGTTTTGAGGAAGCGATTATAGTTTTCCGTGCGGATGGATCGAATCAGCTGAATTGCATGCAAATGGCAATCACATGGCATTGACATTGCTTTTTGTGGTTACCTCCTCGTGAATGTCCGCTTTTTCCTTTCTCAACTCCTCTGTAATGCCGGTACATCTTTCGAGGGACTCTTTCAGAGTGGCACCCATGTCCAGAGGGACTGGTGTCTTTGTCCGCCTCGGCGGAGGTTTTGGCTTTGCTGCATGGACCCGGCGGGCGATTTCTTTCCTCCCGACTCGAACTCGCTCTCGTGGCTGTGACTCTTCTTCAAGCTCCTCTCCTCTTCTCATGGCTGCTATAGGCGCTTCGGGTGGTGCTCCGGCTGGAAATGGATGAACCTCACGAACAGACATGGGCTCAGGTGACTCTTTTTCAAACATTGGATGGCTGACAGGAATCCAGTCGAGCTCGTCCAAGTAAGATTCTCCCTCTGGTGCAAGTTCCTCTTCGATTTTTTTCTTCTCAGCAACTTCAGGGGGCATCGGTGGGAGCTCTTTTGCTGGCGCTTCTGGCTGTCGAAAGCCTGGTGAGCTGACACGTGGCTCATACCATGGCACAGGCACGCGACGAAAAGCCTTCCTCTCCTTTGAATGCCCTTCTGTCTTCTCGAGCTGTTTCTCGCCCTCATGCCTTTGTTCTAGCGGCCGATGGCCCCGTGTCTCTTCGAGTCGTTGTTCTCTTTCTTCCTTTGGTGTCACAGGCGGCGAAGGAGGAGGATGGCCTGTCACCTTCTCCAGGGCCCTCTCTTTCTCGATTGGAATCCACTCCCCTTCTTCTAATTTGCCGCGCGCAGGGGCTCGGGTTGGCGTGTGGCCCGTCACTGGCTCAGGGGGCTTCTCTGTTGACGGGCGATGGCCTGTCACCTCTTCCAGCTCTTCTTCCGTCGTTTCCTCCTCTTCTGGTGGGGGATGGCCCGTCACTGGCTCAAGGGGCTTCTCTCTTGACGGGCGATGGCCTGTCACCTCCTCCAGCTCTTCTTCTGTCGTCTCCTCCTCTTCTGCCGGTGACGCAGTACTGCTCTCTGCCTTCTTCTTAGGAACTACTGGCGCAGGCGGAGTGGTTGGGGCGGTCGGAGGCATGGGTATCTTCACATGGATGTGGACGTGATAAGGGGCAGGCGCGACAGGCTGTCGCGTCCTGCGTTCAACAGATCAGCCCAACAGACCAGCATCACACACTCAAAGACAGTAGTCCCTCTTTCATTGCCTCTGTAGCATACCCATTCGGTTTCATTTCCCCTATATAGGGTGACACTGGGGGCTCCTCTGGAAGCATCTTTTGGGGGACAGAGGGAGGACGTCTCTCAGAGGGGTAAGGAGCCGGCGGAATCCTTTCGAGCTCGTGAGGAGCCATGTCTCTACCTGCAAGAGCTCGCCATACCTGCTGGCCACCCAGGTTGAAATCAGAGAAGTTGCGGAGCGGCATTGTGGGTTCTGTCGGTGGCCGATAGGGCAGCGGGATCCGCACTTCCACAGGCACTTGCTCCTCGATTTTTGCAGGTGCGATTGTCTCGGGGAAAACATGCTCCTCTGCCGGCCGATAGCCAGCTTTCGGTTTCTGAGCTTTGGCTTGTGCCGCACCTTCTCTATACAGCGGGAAGGTCGGTGTAATCGAGGGCGCACGAGAGACCTCGTGCTTCAGGGGATTGTAGTAGGGGATGTTCTTTCGGTCAAAAGAAGGGGCGTAGGGCACATGCGATTCATTCACGGGAGGCTTAGCCTTCGACGGGATAAGGTCTCTGAGGGCCTTTACCATGTATATCAGCCGACTGATGGTGTCATGGACCGCAGAAGTAGGGAGTATCCTCGCCAGCGCCGACCACCTGTCGTCAGTGGCATTCTGCAGTGATTTAGCTGACGTCTGATTGACGAGCTGCAGCAATGATGGTAGCTGACGGAACTCATCCCGGAGCCGCTTTGCAGTGGCAGCGTCATCCAGGTTCTCGACGATTCGATGAGTGGTCTCAGAAGGGAAGGAGGCCCCGGCATGTTGTGCTCCCAGCTGAGAAGTGGATGCAGACTGGACGCTCAGGCTGAGTGAGAGGATAATCAGGATCAGAAAGCGCTTCATTGCAGCTGACGATAGTAGAGGGATAAAGCGGCAATCGGCGCTCCGAGAAAGGATAGGGAATGGTTGTCAGAGGAAAGGATGAAACTTGCAATGAGAATAGGGAATGCAGGCAGGGAATGCCCCACAGAGAGCTCCGGAAGAAGAAATGGAGACGGGAAGGAAGACACCGATGATCGCTTCAAAGCTCGCAAGGGCCCGGGGAAAGAAGGTTCCAATGGCGCGTGTCATAGAGCGCATCAATACCCCCCTCGCTCGCCACTCTCTCGATGGCCTGCTTGAGATCAAGGGTGCCGGTGAGGATGACGCGGGGTGGCTATCGAATTCTGCTGATATGTAAGTCCAACAGACACTACCGTTCGTGCCCAAGGATCCATTGATCTACGTTTCTGTGCGTCTTTGCACCTCTTAGGCTTGAGCAGGGCACGTATGAGTGGAGCGTCATTGCGTCGTTCATACGCATGGCCAACATCTACCGCATCACCCCTCCACAGCAGAAACGTCTCATCGTGTCATCATGCCCCGCCCCGTCGACGAACCGCCTGCCGCTCGCCATGGCGGCATACAGCATCATCGGAGACCAGCTGACGCACCGGGGAAGGAGCATGGCACTGCAGCGCAGCGACGGAGAAGGCAACTACAGCATCCTCGGACTGCGATTCCACGTCGTGCAGCTCAGCGAGATGTGCGTGAACCACATGTATCGGGCCAGCTACAACCCAGAGGATCCGCCCGTGCGGACGGTACAGAGCACGCTGACGTTTCCCCACTTCAGCGCCATGCTGGTGTGGCACCTCATCAACAGCTGCGGGAAGCAAGCGGGGGAGGGGGTGCGGGAGACCGTGGTCGTTAGCGAAGACCTCAACAAGGTGGGCACACACATATATCCCCCACGATCCGTACTCACCACCGAGTTCTCACCAGAAGTGAGTGTTGCGTCTGGTGTGTCGGTCAGAGGGACGAACGTTTCCGTTCGCTCCTGACGGACAGGTTGGAGGGATACACGGCGGTGGACTATCACGACAGGTCGGTGCGGTGCAGAACACTGACTGAGATGGATCGATGCGTAGGTATGGAGTCTCCTGCTTGTCTCTCAGCTACCGTTGGGGCGCTGACGATGGCCTGCGGCGAATCATCATGCTCAAGGGGCTGAAACACGGCGACACCGTCAACAGTTTCATTTCGGTGAGTGAGTGGAAGCTGCGGTGTGCCGTGCCGCCCCATATCTATGTGTGTGTGTCCCATTGGTGTGCGCGTCAGGTCGGCAACGGACATGTGGCCATATACACGACGGAGAGCACAGTGGAGGGCGCCACGGCCATCGCCGCTCGCCATCCCGTCGCTGTGGAGGCTGCCCGTCCCATCCTCGACCAGTACAACCTGACCGACACACTCATGAACGCCGAGTATCCCGCACAGCAGGTGAGAGATACGCCTGGCCAGTCACCCCGCCCCCGCGCATCACATCTGTGGGTGTGTGCTCTTGTGTGGTGTTGTGTTGTGTTGTTTTCTCATGTGTGCAGGAGCCATGCTTCTGCGAGGAATGTTTGCTGCGCCGTATCGGCATCGAGACGGTCACCTCGGCGAGTGGGCGGCGGATGTTCGTCATGCAGATGCAGTAGACAGACAGACAGACAGATAGACGGTTGTCGTGATGCATCACATGACAACCTCCAGAGCCGGCCGGCCGGGCGGCCATTGTGAATCAGAGTGCCATTCATTCGAAGTGGTGGGGCTGGCGAATGGCATTGATTGCATCTGTTCATGCCATGCGTGTGTGGGTGTACATAAAACTAGCTATCTTCGGAGGCTTTGGAGGGAGGGAGGGAGGGAGGGAGGCCTATTGTGGGCGTGCGTTATCGATTGGCCTTACCTTTTTTCTTTGGGGCGGGGGGTTGGGCACCATGTAGACAACCCCGTGTAGACAATGGCGGCGGGGAGGGCGAAAGACATATACGGGTGGCTGCTGCAGCTGTGTCCCTGCTGCATGTTGGCATGGCTGGATGGCTGGCATGTGTGTGTGCGTGTCTGTGCTGCATGCTGTCGTGCAGTACTGGGATGTGTTGTTATGTCGTAACAAAGGCAACTAGAATAGCGCGACGAGATGCATGCAATTCTTGCAGTGAGTGGCGTGGCGTTCTTTTGTGCTGTTGTGTGAACTGTCTGCAGACATGATTCCATCTGCGTGTTTTCCAGCGACCCGATTGCATGACCAATTACTCAATTATGTGACATACTGGCATGAACGATCTAGTGCACACACACCAAGCTGTCGCGTTCATTGCACCAGCGCATCGCGGCAACGATACACACCCACGATACTTGCACCATCACAATAATATCACCTCTTCCCTCGTCCCCTGCCCCATCCCCTCTGCGCCTCGGCGAGCTGCCTCGCCGTCTCATAGTATTGCTTGGCATTGTCAGCCAGCCGATCGGTCGTCCCCTTCAGTGACACCAACGCCTCACCTACACCCCACACGCCACACACAGGCCAACACACACACACAGACGTGACAGCACACGGCCTCGTTCGCCCCTCAGTACCTCTCTCTGCCACTTTTGCCCTTGCTGCGGCTGCCGACTCCATTGCCGCATCAGTCGCATTCTGAATGAATGGAGCACCAACACACAGCAGGAGGACCCATACGCCGTGCCAACAACCAACAACAAAACAACGCTCTCATCTGCTTACTGACCTGGTGGTACTTGAGCGTGTGGGCGGTGTTGGCTCGCGGGGGCGGCTGGGGGCGGGGCTGTTTCTCTCTCGCCGCCGCAGCCACGGCCCCCTCAGCCACACTCATCCGAGTCCGCCCCTTCCCCCCACCCCCCAGACCCATCGCACCCAGGAACGACCTCGCGACCGACCCCAGCCCACCACTGTCCCTCCGGCTGTCTGTGTTGGGACCGCCTTCGTCATCGTCACCGACGAGGGAGGCGATCTCGTCTTCATCGGCAGACAGCCGCTGTTGCGATGACCCGGGTGTTTGTGTGGGGATGGGTATGGACATGGCGGCGGCCGGGGGCTCCAGCGAGCGGCCTGAGGGTGTTCGGGGCGGCTCGTTGCGGTGCTGGCGTGACGCGGGGCTGTTGTCTAGGAACACCCAGTCGTCGGCAGATGCCATCTGCATCGCATGGACAGACAGACAGACAGACAGACAGACAGAAATGAGAGGGGCGACACGAGATGGCTGGGTGGGGTAGTAGGTGTCCTGACACCCACCTGGTTCTCATCGTTGGCCGACGACAGCTGTGTCTCGTCGGCAGCCTCCACCTAAACACATCACATGGAACGGATTGATCGGTCGCTCATGTGGGTGTGGTGCATGCCTGACGTCGAAGTGTTGGAGGAAATTGAAGCAGGCGTCGCATGTCCGCAGGTACCCCGACGCACCCTTGGCAATCGGCAGCCTCGACCGCGGGACCATCGACGCCGCCGGCGCCGCCTCGGTGACACTCACAGGCGACATGGCGCTCTGCCTGCGGCCCGTGAACAGACCTTCACAGACACACAGTGGGCACACAGACAGAGAGATGAGGATCTCCCGTCTCTCCCCCTCACCAGCCAACACGCTCCTCCTTCTGTCCGGCTGCGGTGCCTGGTCGTCTTGCTCTGCCTCCTGCCGCTCCACCTCTGCATCGGCGTCCATCGACTCAATGGAGGTCTGATACCCTGCCAATGGGTCATAGCTTGGGTCGGCCCGGCCGGCCCCCCTGCCTCTGCCACCAGCTGCTGCGGTTGGTGAGCCGTCGGGGGATGACGACTGCTGCTGCTGTGAGCCGGATGCTCTCCTGTCGGGCTCTTTGCAGGGGTGGGGCACCACGGCTCGCTTCGACGAGCACTCGTCGCAGACACACAGGCCGCACGAACGACCTGATCAAGAGATGGCATGAGAGAGGGGAGAGGGGAGAGGGGAGGCGTGGACTGGTTGGTGTGACTGACGTACAATGGTGTCGTCTGATGCGGACGGTGAAGGTGACTCCGCACGCCTGACAGCCATCCACATCGGCGTCGTTCGTCCACCGAGCTGATGACGTCACCGCCCACCTGCACACACACACACACACACACACATACACATACACACACACACGCTCCATCCGATCATCTGACGCATGCACCCCACCCACCCCATCGTATGTGGGTGCTCACCACGGCAGTGAGATCCGCTCGCCTCTGTGGTCTTCATATTTCTTAGTCCGATACTTCTGCCGCGCACTCCTGACGGCCTCGAGGGCCGCAGCGGCCTCCTCGGTCGGAGGCTCGCCGTCCTTTTCCTCGAGGGGAAGGCCCAGCTGCTGCCGTATCTGACGGCGGGCGAGAACCCAGACACACACACACACACACACACGAGGATGAATGTGCGTCTTGTGTGTTGTGTGGTGTGGTGTGGTGTGAGCACCTGATTGGGGAGCTGCTCCCACCCTCTGGCGCCGTATTCCACCAAGACGATGACGCACTCGAGCGATCGGCAGTGGTGGAGGGGGGACAGGCCCTCGGCGTCGCGGAGGTTTGGCTGGCCGCCGAACTCCAGCACAGACTGCACCAGCAGCCTGATTGATCCAAGCAGCAACGTACACACACGCGCGAGCGCCGTGGCACCCGTAATTTGTTCATCTCACTGGTGGTCTGTCTGGACAGCGAGGTGGACGGCTGTCCTGCCGGAGCCGTCGGCCAGTTGTATGTTGGCGTCACAGCCCACTGACAGCAGACGGCCGACCATCTCGACGTCGTGATCTGAACACACATAACATACATTTTCTCACAGATCTCCCTCCCTCCCTTCCTCCCCCCCCTCTGTGCTCACTGAGTATGGCGACATGGAGCGCTGAGAGGTGTGGGGTGGACGAAGCGTCTTGTGGTTGGCGGCACACGCACCCGTTGAGGTTGACGTGGCTCATCCGAAGGACCTTGAGGGTCGTGCCCGCCACTGACCAACCACACACCGCCACCAAACCACACAAGCCCCTTCCATTTGGGCAATCAGTGTGTGGTGTGGTGCCCTGAGCTCACCCTTGGCAGAGGGGTGAGATGCTGCCAGGTACACGACGTTCCTCCCGCCCTTGTCAACCTGATGAAAATGAAGAACAAGCAGAACAATCCAAGACACACGTTTCTCCCTCGCGGTGAAATGCACTGTATACTTACAGCCCGTGGGTTGGCGCCGTTGCGCAGCAGCAGACGGACGATCTTCGCGTTGCCAACACGACATGCGACAAGGAGAGGGGTCTCGCCTTGAGCACTGACACCGTCAACGTCCACGCCGCCGTCAACCAGCACTGTCATGGCCGCGTGGCTGCCCACCTGCATGCCCACAACACACACACGGTGACGTTGTAGGACAGAATGAGCATCACCGCCGACCCGTGCAGCGACGTGTGCGGCCGACCACCCCCACTCGTCAGTGTCGTTGAGGTCGCCGATGTCCGCCCCGCCTCGCCTGTTGACGGCATGCTGTATCCACTCCTGGATCAGTATCCACTTGTTCTGACAAGCGCATCGAGGGAGGGGGGGACAGACACAGCCAATGGTTCTCTGTCTGTCTGTGGGTGTGTCTGCGCACACGGACCTCCAATGCGAAGGCGTGCACCGTGTCCTTGACCAGGTCGTGCGCCACCAGCACTGTCATGTCGTCCAGACGGGGGGGCAGCGGGCCTTTGAGACGCTGGGAGGGCTCCCCTGCTTGAGGGACGGGAGCGGGGGTGTCGTTGGGGTGCGCGAAGGTGGCCAGGGCGCGCCGTAGAGCACTCAGCCACTCCTTCTTCTCCTGATGAGATCGCCAACACAAGAGAGACTGCCGCGTGATGCCCTCCTTAGGACAGACAGACACGCAGACAGACAGACAAACAAACAGACAGACAGACGGCATTCTATCATGCCTTCGGTTGTCTGTTGAGAGCACCAGATTTTCGAGCAGGACGATGCCGTGTCCGATGCCGTTGACGGCCTGCGTGGCCTCGCGGACGTCCCTCACCACGGCGTGTCGGAAGCTGACGGACCGCTTCCACTTGAAGCGGTTGGTCGGCTGACAGGGGTGGGTGATGACCTGCACAACAAAGGTGATGGAAATTCGCACACGCATAGATGCGCGAGATTTATAATGTGTTCACCAGGCAGTTGTTGAAGAGGAATCCGTGGTGCTCCTGAAACAGACAGACATATTCATCACACTCACTGATCAGTGTGGTGTCTGTCTGTGTGTCATAAGTCGTGTGTGTGGCAGCTGTGTGACCTACCTGCAGTCGATGGATGGCCTTCTGCATCTTGAGCAGGGGCCCGTGGCGCAGCAGCAGGGGCGGGTTGCTGGCGTCCGACAGCAGGTCGTCGTTGACGTCATAGATGTCTGGGTAAAACGGAGGCGCCGTTTCGCTCGATGACGACGCCATTCCAGCTGCAGTCAGGTGAAGACGACCGGGGAAAAGCCGTTCGCCTGCTCTTTTTCGCAGAAAAGCTCGCAAATGATGGAGGGAGGGGGGAGGGAAACCGCAAACAGCTCTGCAATGATGGAGCGGTGCGCAAACAGCTACGCTATGAGGATCTCATGTTTTGATTTGAATTTGATGATTGCTTGGCGAATTCATTGTCACGACTGTCATGCATGCAGCCGGCACCAACGGAGTCTATGCATCTGCGCTGTTCTCTTCACGTCACCACCACCACCACCATGAACTCATCTGAGTGCGGCGGACCGCCTCCCTTGCCCTGCACGCCGCCAGCCACTCGTGCGTGAGAGGGAACTCCTCAGCACCCACACAGTCCATCTCCTCCTGCAATCGGCTCCAGAAAGGCACCGCTGACACGTCGGCGATGGACAAGGACTCGCCACACAGAAAGTGGCCCTTCCCCGGCCTCTCCCGCAGCTTAGCCTCCCACTCGGCAATGACTACTCGAAGCGCGGCCATGTTCTTCGATGATGGGTTGAGCACCGCCGCCTTGCCGACGGGGATCAGCCGCTGCTCGAGCATGTCGCGCCACTGCTGCCGCTTGCTGGGGGTGGGGGTGGCGAGGGACGGGGCGAGCTCGGCGATGGCGTCGAGGGTGGCCTCGCTCTCCGCCACAGGCTGGCCGTCGATGACGAGTACGGGCACCAGGCCCTGCCATTACAGACAGACAGACAGACAGAGGGAATGAACGAACGCATGTGTGTGTGTGTGTGTGTTGGTACCTTTGGGTTGAGGTCTAGAAACCACTTTGGCTTGCCCCCCGCGCCATA